GCAAATTTACTTTTTTTATACGAAGTGCTGCTTTAATTCCAAAATATGTCAGTGGCTTTGCTTTAAAAGTTTGATCTACATCTTCATTATCTATTGAATTTTTAGATAAGTTCGATTTTCTATCAAAAAATTTAAAAATAGCAAGCCAAATTTCCTCTAAAAGAATAGCCTGTAATTGTTGATCTTGATCTACTTCAATCTCTTGAATCCATCACCCTAGCAAATTAAGTGAGTATTGATTATCTTTCTCATGCATTTTATCATAAGAAAATTTAGGAAAGTTTTTCCATTTACTCTGAAAAAAATGGCCATCTTCACTATCAAAACAATGAGAACAGACATATTTTGATCATACTTGATTTGTAGAAGATCTGTCAAATTCATTATTTTCAATTAATGCAGGACAAAATTTTAATCCAGTGACATGGAATATTAATATTTTGTCTGAAGATTTTCCACAAGTGCTGAGTACAACATCCTCCTTGACTAAAAAAATATCTGTCTTAATTGCAAAACATACACCTTCGCTTATGAGTCTAACTTTTTGCAATTGAAATATGATGTTTTAACCCAACTTTGTGAAGCTTATTCTGATCGAAACTAAAATGAGTTGAACATACACCTAAAGCAGTTAATGCTTCTGTTGTTCCTGATTTGATTGTTACATCTACTGCTTCAAAACTTAATTCCCAAATCCCTATAAGTTGTTTAATAGGTTTACATACACTGTTTGGACAACGTTGAAGATGCCCTTCTATATAATCAACAACAACACATTGACTACTGTTTAAATTAATATTAGTTTCGCCTAGTTCATAATCGATTACATGATTATCATCTGTAGTTGAAGTCCACATAGACTCTATTATTGATGGTGTATCATTATCCAACGCTAACCAATTAATGTCTAGTTCATTTTGTTCGAAATCTTGAGAATCTTCGGAAGAAATAGTTGTTAAATTTTTTGCATAATTTAATGCAGCCTCATCAAAAATAAATTCTTTAATAACGTATTTAGATAAACTTGAGAAAGTAGTTGATTATACAGCTATTTGTCATGTTTTAGAGTTAATTTGG